ATTGTAAATTTAGGTGGGATATACTCAAGGTCATAGTTTGGCTCTCGTGGACTTTTCATTTTCTTCAGCTTCAGTTTCAATTTGCATATGAGTAATTGATGGTCTGTTGTACAGTCTGCCCTGGGCCTTGTTTTCACTGATGATATGGAGCTTTTCCATCATCTCATTCCGCAGATGTAGTCAGTTTGATTTCTGTGTATTCCATCTGGTGAGGTTCATGTGTATAGCCGTCTTTATGCTGTCTAAAGAAGGTATTTGAAATGAACAAACCATTGGTTTTACAGAATTCGATCATGCGTTCTCCAGCATCATTTCTATCACCAAGGCCATATTTTCCAACCACTGATCCTTCCACTTTGCTCCCAACCTTTGCATTTCATTCACCAGTAATAATCAATACATCTTGATTGCATGTTTGATCAATTTCAGATTGAAGAAGTTGATAGTTCTATTTCATCCTCACTGTTTTTAGTGGTTGGTGCATAAATTTGAATAATAGTGGTATTAACTGGGCTTCCCTGTAGGCGCATGGATATTATCCTATCACAGATAGCATTGTACCTCATGACTGATCTGGATATGTTCTTTTTGACAATGAATACACCATTCCTCTTCAATTTGTCATTCCTAGCATAGTAAACTATGTGGTTGTCAGATTCAAAATGGCCAATACCAGTCCATTTCAGTTCACTAATGCCCAAGATATCGATGTTTATGTGTTCATTTCATTTTTTGAAAACCTCCAATTTTCCCAGATTCATATTTTGTACATTCCATATTCTGATTTTCAACTGATATTTACAGCTGTTTCTCTTCATTTTGAGAATATAAAATATAGGTATTCTTTAGGATGGTCTTAAAAGATTTCATATGTAAAATTGTTGAATAAAATTTTTAATTAAAAATTTTCTTTCTTTTTGCTACAGATTCTGGTTCTTTAAATTTGCTGCAGCAATAGCAATTATTATTGGGGCATTCTTTATTCCAGAAGGAACTTTTACAACTGGTAAGATATTTAAATTTGTGTAATGGATGTTTATTTTTATAAAGAAACTGAAATAATGGCTGCCTGGAAGTATAATACTGTTTTGTTTTGCTATATTTCCTAGTTGGCCAAGTTAGGATATTGATAAAAAAAACTGTAGTTTTCCTTTTGTGTACTGTGATTGTGTAAAGGCAGTAAAAACTGAACCAGCCATTCATATGTATGCTTTTTTTCTTTCAGTGTGGTTTTATGTGGGCATGGCAGGTGCCTTTTGTTTCATCCTCATACAGCTAGTCTTACTAATTGACTTTGCCCATTCATGGAATGAATCCTGGGTCGAAAAAATGGAAGAAGGAAACTCGAGATGTTGGTATGCAGGTAAGCTTTTATTTCAGAGAACGTCTTCAAAATAATTAAACTTTGAAGGTGAGAGCAAGTATGTGGATCATAGAGAAACATGGGTTTTATTATTTCATTTCCTCTGAACAGAATTTTGGTATAAAAGTTTGAGTAGCATCTGTATATCGACAACTTTACTTATGAGAAATCTTTTGACAAACCTATTAAGAACGTACTCAAATACCAGAAAATCCCCAAAGAAACCAAAATAGCTAAATTTTACGTTGTTTAAAGAATGTACATTTTATGGTTTTTTATTGCGGTTTTTTTTATTTTAGATAAATTCTCTACAGTCTCACTACCTCACCTATAACAAATTAGAAGTAAAATGGCAAAAGGTAGAGCACTGCTAGAAACAGATAGACATCCAGTGCTGTACTTCATAAATAGATATAAACAAAAATATAAAAAGCAACTCTGAGGCATTTTATAAGTGTATAGGATGCCTTTAATGTGTATCAATAACACCTAAGAGAATTCTTATAGTAGTATGATTAATGTTTATTCCTTTATAATTATGAGCTTGAGTCCTACATTTATACTCTAAAATGGGGATCAAAACTCAAATGATTATAGGGATGAAACAGGAAAGAAAAACGAGAGAAGGAAAACCAAGTAACCAAGATTAAGTGTAGCATAGATTCTGTCCTCATACAAATAGTAGGGACAGTGTGGCATTGTAGGATAAGCACTGGGGTGCTAATTGGTAGGTAGTTCAAACCTACCAATCACTCCTTGGAAACCCTCTACAGAATCACTAGAAGTTGGAACCGATTTGATGGCATTTAACAACTGCATTAGTGGTGCTCTGGGTTAATACGCCAGACTGCAAAGCCATTTGAACGGCAAGGTCGGCAGTTCAAGCTCACTAGTTGCTCCTCGGAAACCTTATACAGGGTTGCTATGGGTCGGAATTGACTCAACGGCACTTCACAACAACAACTGCATTATGAATTAGAGTGTGAGTGACCCATCTAAAGAGCTGCTGCTCAGTTCTACATGGAAATGTGGACCTTATGGTTGCTTGATTATTTTTCTGTTTTATTTATAAGAAGCTACAAATCTGGATTTTTATTTGAAATGTTTTTTAATTTCCACTCTAAAAATGTATTTTTAAGTTATGTTGTTGCTGTTATGTGTCATGGAGTCGGTTCCGACTCATAATGGCCCTGAACAGGGTTTTGGAGGCTATAAATCTTTACGGGAGCAGAAAGCCTCATCTTTCTCCCGGGGAACAGCTGGTAGTTTTGAACTGCTGACTTTGCGATTCGCAGCCCGATTTGTAACCACTACGCTACCAGAGCTCCTTATTTTTAAGTCATAGTATTCTCTAAATCTGACATAATCTGCTTGTCTAATATGCTTCATATACTACTAGTTTGTGATGTTTGTTATCAGTGGCTGTCTCAAAGAAATAAGCTTTTGTCATTTTGAAAATTTACTTATATAGAATATATTCTTTAATACAGGAATTTCTGTTTTATTCCTAGAACAAGAACTATGTAGACATTAAGTAAATAGTTGTTAGATGATCTCTCATTTAGGCAAATCTAGATATAGTGAGCTTATGCTAGCATAAAGATTAAAACTTTATAGATATTTAAATTTACACAGAAGACAGTTGTATTGTCTTATTAAGTAATTATGACTTAGCCTTGCTAAATTTTTCTTTAAAAACATTTTAGTGGATGAGGAAAAGTATCAGTGTTTCATGGGCTTAACATTTAGGATGAAAATTAAGATTTTATGTTTCTTAATTTTAATCAAATTATTTTTAATTAAAAATGTATAAGTAATACTTTAATTATTTTTATAGGCTAATTTATGTGATAGAGTGAGTTACGCAGTGGGCTACAAACTGCAAGGTCCGCAGTTCAAATCCACTGGCCCTTTCTAAGGAGAAAGCTAAGACTTTCTGCTCCTATAAAAATGTATAGCCTTGGAAACCCAATTACAGGGTGGCTATGAGTTGAAGGAGTCATGGTGTGGCATTGTGGGTTAATGCGTTGGACTGTAAAGTCGGGTTGAACCCCACAGGGTAGGCAGTTCAAGCTCACCAGCCACTCTTTGGAAACCCTATACAGGGTCACTACGGGTTGTAACCAACTAGACAGCACATCACCGCACCAATGCATATGAAGAGTCTTGGTGTGGCACTGTATTATTAGCACTGGGCTGCTAACAGAAAAGATGGTGTTAAAACCCACCAGCCACTCCTTGGTAATCATATACCGGGTGGCTGTGAGTCAGAATTGACTTGATGGCATTTAACAAATAACATTGTATGTGAGAATATTTTGCAAACTATAGTACATATACTAATAGTAAAAGGCTTATTAGAATGTTAGTTTATTGTGCTCTGAAGTGTGGCACTATTGGCTAAAGCACTGGACCACAAGATCTGTTTGAAAAGCAAGGTCCGTTTGAAACACAAGATCGGCAGTTCATACTCAACCAATTGCTCCTTGGAAGACTCTACAGTGTCACTATGAGTTGGGATCGACTTGATGGCAGTTAACAACAACAACAGCAATAATGTAAAAGTGAACCATGTTTAAAGGCTGTAAGACTCCTCATTGAAAAAGTTTCCAATTATTCTTAACTGCTTTGATAGCCTACATAAAGCTGACAATGTTAGTTACTTAAAATACATATTTTGAAAAATAACATGTTTTTAAAACAAAGCTATATGCCTAATTCCTAATATTTGTGACAAAACTCTGTAACTGTCCAATTTTGTTTTTTTCACAGCCTTGTTATCTGCTACAGCTCTGAATTACCTGCTGTCTTTAGTTGCTATAGTCCTCTTCTTTGTGTACTACACTCATCCAGACAGTTGTTCAGAGAATAAGGCATTCATCAGTGTGAACATGCTCCTCTGCATTGGTGCTTCTGTAATGTCTATACTGCCCAAAATCCAAGTATGCTCTTTATATCTATCATTAGTTTTGTTTTGAAGTTTCTGTGTTTGTAAATTTTTATAAACCTTAAATGATGTTAGACTTTTTATCAATATTAATATTTTTCTTCAGGAATCACAACCAAGATCTGGTTTGCTGCAGTCTTCAGTAATTACAGTCTACACAATGTATTTGACATGGTCTGCTATGACCAATGAACCAGGTATGCTTAGTTTTATTTATTTTTCAATGACTCCTGCAGGTTTTCTTTTTTAAAAGATGACTATAAGATTAAGCTGGAGTCTGGTGTGGTGCTGTGGGTTAATGCGCTGGACTGCAAAGTCAGTTTGAATCAGCCACTCCTTGAAAAGCCTATACAGGGTCGCTGTGGGTCAGAACCTACTTGACAGCACTAAACAACAACAATAAAATAAGATTAAGCTATTTTAAAATTAAACTCTAAGAGGGATAAAGAAAATGGAAATAATATTTTCATCTTTGATGTATTGCTATATTTTTTCATCAAGTGTTTTCTTTCGTTAACTATTATAAGAAGGCTATATATAGCAAGTTAATTTGAAAATTCAAAGATACACCTGTATTTTGCACAGTGCATAAGACAGTTATATAAAGAAAGAAAAGCTGTTCAAATGCTTGCTGATGGAAGTGTGTGTAGCATCATTTTGTCATTATTTTTGTCTCAGATTGCATAGAACAATTGTCTTGTAATTGAATAGAATAATTTGACTTACTATAAGCCTGTTCCGTTCCATGGGAAGAGAAACCAGATATGCCATTTGAGGGTGGAGACAAATTAATGAGAAATGAATTACTATTTATATAAACAGCTTTTCTTTTAAGAAAACAAAAAATCATAAAACTTATCTGAATCTAATACATTGAGTTTGTAAACTCTGGAGGTGTTTTACCACTAGTTGGAGAAATAATTCTTTAGTATATTAGAGAAAGTTTCCTTAGGGCTTTTTAAGAATCATTTTCATTAAAGTCATGCTTGACTAAGCATGGGAGAAAAGACTTGTTTGGACACTTCAGTGAATACGTACCAACCCTGTTTTAATTGTTTCTTATAAATGAGTAAGGAAAACTGAATTAGTTCATTATACTTTACTTGGTGATTTCTAAAAATCATTTATTAGGATTCTAGTAATTAATGGGGTATTTTTGTGTGTAAGCTGTCTTGCTGCTTTTAACCATGTACTTTGGCAAATAGATAAACCTGATAAATGTTGTAATCTCAGAATATACAGTATAAAAGCCCTAGTACATTGTGGTTTTGGGCATCTGAATAACACTCCTATCTCTTAGAATGTTACTGACACTTTCTAAATTTCATTTATTGCCTTACCTGTTTCAGCCCATCTTTTGGTTAGCCACATACTTGACCCTGTGTCCCCAAGGCTCCTTATCTATGTTGCTAGGGACCATAAATCAGTTCTGACTTACAGCGACCCTCTGTACAGCAGAACAAAACACTCTCCAGTTCTGCATCCTCACATTTGTTGTTGTGTTTGAATCCATTGTTGTAGTAACTCTGTCAATCCATCTTATAGATCTGATTTTAAAGTGTTGGCCTTATTTATAAGGAGTTCATAAAACTCAGCTACCTTATAAGGTTGAAAATGAAATTATTTAAGTTTTTCAAGTACTTATTTAAAATTAGCATTATAAATAATACTTAAAATGTTTCATTAATAAATATGTTGTTTTTAAGTATTTTGTTATACTTACTACCTTTTTCAGTAAAACTGAATTTATGTGGGTTTTGTTAACAGAGTTAAAAAGAACTCTTTGCTTTGAAAAGCAAATTATTTTCAATGATACTCTCAAATTTTCATTTGATCTTATTTGTTTATATCATAGAAACAAACTGCAACCCAAGTCTACTAAGCATAATTGGCTACAATACAACAAGCAGTACTCCAAAGGACGGGCAGTCTGTCCAGTGGTGGCATGCTCAAGGAATTATAGGACTAATCCTGTTTTTATTATGTGTGTTTTATTCAAGGTAAAGAAAACTAGAATTAAAAAATAAAAATCCAGTTATTTATTTCTGAATCATTTCTTAAGGAAATGTCCTTCTTCCTTCTCTTCTTAAACCCTGTCTTTCCTACAGCATCCGTACTTCCAACAATAGTCAGGTTAACAAACTGACTCTAACAAGTGATGAATCAACGTTAATAGAAGACGGTGGAGCCAGAAGTGACGGGTCCCTGGAGGATGGAGATGACACTCGCCGAGCTATAGATAATGAAAGGGATGGTGTCACTTACAGTTACTCCTTCTTTCACTTCATGCTTTTCCTGGCTTCACTTTATATCATGATGACCCTTACCAACTGGTACAGGTACGTACTTGATGAGAATTTGGGTGTGGGAATCTTGATGGCTTTTCATCACAAAACAGGAAGTACTTTTCTCAAGTGAAATTAAAAATATTGAGCTAAATGCATAGTGGGATCATTGTGAGAAATGGTAACTTCCTTGATTTAATAACAGAAAGCCTGAGATAATTCCAACTCCAGGAATACATGTTGGTAGTTTATATCTAATACTACATGTTTATTTATTTTGATTACTGTATCCAGTTCTTGACATAGTGTAGTAAAAGATCCCACCTTTCTTCTTCTCTTTGAACTTTGTCATTAAAAATTCTGGAGTGTTTAAAATCAAAGTGATTACATTATTGTAGATATCTTCGAGTTCTTGAAAACTTTTAATTGTATTTTTTTTAAGCTCTTATTGTGAATTGAGTGATAGTTTACATCAGAAGACATCAGTTTTGCACTACCTATTGTATTTTGTGTCATTACAGTGATTACAGTCACCTCCGTGCATCATTGATTAACACTTTGATTCCCTCTGTTTTTTTGTTTTTTTTTTCCTTTCTTTCTGTTTCTTTGTTTTTATGTGCACAGAGACACACACAAGAATACATAATCATTCAAACAAGCTAGCCTCCTGGCCGCCAGCACACAACCTTTATTTTTTCATGAGTTTAGGGTCCTCAACTGCTCTAGCTCTCCATGCCATCACCTCTGCCCCCATCTGTGCTGTTGCTATTTCTCTGGTTAGGGTCCCACATTCTGCTCATGCTCTTCTCTCTTGATGGTTCTAGAGTCTCTGTTCCTGGAATGTAAGATTAACTGCTCCCCCCTTTTTGTTACAAAATGTCTACCTTTACAGTTGTGACAATCACAATTAGTTAGGATAACAATTACTCACTATTGAATCAAAAGAATCCTATCCCCATCTCCTTTCACTAGACCCATCTAGACAAGATGAAAACTATTAAGTGGGGATTCTTCTACCTTCCCTTGCACACATTGAAACTAAACTTGAAAACTTGTAAGCCAGCCACTTCATGCCTTTATACCCCTCTCCCCTTTACCTCCCTCCCCCATTCTAGGTGGTGGTGGTGGTTACGTGCTGTGGAGTCAGAACCGACTCATAGTGACCCTGTACTGGGTTTCCGCGGCTGTAAATCTTTACGAGAGCAGAAAGCCTCATCTTTCTCCCGCGGAACAGCTGGTAGTTTCCAACTGCTGACCTTAGGTTCGCAGCCTGATTCCTAACCACTACGCTACCAGAGCTCCTTTTCCATTCTAGGTAGCCAGTGTCTAAGTTGTCCATCCTTTCAACCCTGTGTACAGAGGGGATAAGTTTGATCTTTGATGTGCAGACTTCTTCCCTTTTAAGTATTTTGAGCTACTGCATCCATAAGTATAATTCAAGTTCATTAAATTGTAGCAATTTGCACTTGCTTCCTTTATCAAATTTCTTTAATTTCCTCTAGTCGAGCTCTGGTCATTAAGCCATTGAAGCTTAGTCAGATGGGTACTATCTGCAAGTTTGGACATTCTTGTGTGTCTCCCCCCACTTCATATCAGCTGGACACTTCACCCTCATTGCTAGCCCTCTGTGGCTAGGTCAGTGTCCATGGGCTCAGGAGTTCCCAAGTTTCTCCAAATCTCCCACCAGCCAGCCCTTTTCACTCTTCTTTCATCTCCAGGTCAATAGGAGTCTATAGAACGTGGTCGAACTCAGCCCACATCTTCATTACTGCCTTTCTGCTACTTCCACTCACATGTAGACCAATAGACACCAGAAAGCTTACATGCTTACTTGTGTGTTCCCTTTCAGTTTCAGTCTTGGTAGGGAGTTTGTCCTGAAGGCACTTGATTCCTTGCCTTAATGGCTATCTGGTGAACAACTTGCTTATTCTGGTAGCCAGTCAGACTGTCATTTTTGGGTTTTTCTTTTTCCTGCTGGTCTGTCTTTCTTTCAAGAAGTGTTTTCTGTTCCTCTAATTGCTCCAGGCTGGTCGGCTTGTCCTTTCAAGTGGGAGTGTCTGTACTCAGAAGGTTCTGGGTGGGGCTCAGGATTCTACCTAAGGTCCTGTACACTACAAAGGTGCCGCAAGAATTCTATTTCACTGGGCTAGTTCTAGTACTCCTTTTACGTATTCCTAAATACCTAAAGATGGGCTTACAGGTTTTCTGTAATCATGCTTCCCGATATTCCCTTCTATCCTACTCAAGTGTCTATTTTAAAATAGTAGGCACAGTAACCAATATCCATAAGACAGTCAAGTATCTTAACATTATGTCCCTTCTCTTACTTATTCAGACTATGCCTGGATCCCTGTATCAGAGAGCCCTGTTGTTCCAAGTTTGCGCTTACATCACTATGTATCTCTGTCCCATATAACCCATGCAAACCTACCTAAGTGTTCCCCTGTCTACCTTGTTCTTCCACCCTCCTTCTCCTACTTATATTGCCCTCCCCAGTACCCAAGCTATGATGTGACTATCCCCTAACCTGTGCTCTTCTGTCCCCTCTCTCCCGCCCCTGGTAACCAACAAAGAATTTTTTTTTTTCCTTCCTTTTCGTATGGGTCTCTTAAGTTTTACGATAATGGTCTTATGCAATATTTGTTTTTTTGTACTAACTTTACTCAGCATAATGTCTTCAGGTTCATACATGTTATACGGTAGTTTATAGCTTCAGTATTATTCTTCAAATATACCAAAGTTTATCCATTCTTCATTGATGGACACTTAGGCTGTCTTTACCTTTTTGCTATTGTGAATTTGAACATTGTGAAATATTGTGAAAATGAACATTGGTGAGCATATATCTACTTGTGTTCTGGTTCATATTTCTTGTGGATATATACCAAGTAGAGGAATTGCTGGATCATAAGGTATTTCTATTTCCAGCTTTCTAAGGAAGTGCCATACCATTTTCCAGAGTTGTTGAACCATTTTACATTCCCACCAGCAATGTAGGAGCATCCCAGTCTCTCCACATCCTCTCTAGCATTTATTGTCCTTTGCCTTTTTGAACTTCGCTTTTACTTCTGGTGTGAGATGATACGTCATTGTTGTTTTGATTTGCATTTCTCTAATTGCTAATGATCATGAACATTTCTTCATGTTTGTTGGCTGCCCAAATGTTTTTCTTGGTGAAGTATCTGTTCATGTCCTATGCCCATTTTTAAATTGGTTCTTTTTTTTTTTTTAATTGTCTTTTGCTTGAGAGGTAATGTACCTCTGTAGTTTCCTATAGAATAATTTAGAGATTTCATCCACTTCTGATGTGTTGTTGCAAAAGAATTTTTTTCCCAATGGTATGCTTTTATTACTTCAACACTTATCCATAAGTAAACTTCTGGCAAGAGAAAGGTAGCAATTTACATTAATGTGTTTTACATTTTTTTTCATTTTGTCCAAATAACTATGGAAAGATTTATTTTAAGATTTGCAATAAACTATATGGTTTGAACTTCTTTTATTTTTAACTATTACAAACGCAAGAGGTCCTGTAAGTAGTTGTTGTTAAGAAGGTTTTCAGTACTAGCAAAAGGCATAGGGAAAAAAAAAAAGGTTCTTTACACTTCAGTTTTCTGAGATCAGCCTTTACTGATACTTATTATTTTAAAAAATATAAAGAATTTTTGTTCTGGAGCATATTGAGGTATTGTTGTAAGTGCCGTCGAGTCAGTTCCAACTCATAGGGTTTCTGAGGAGTAGATGGTGGATTTGAACTGCTGACCTTGTGGTTCATAGTCCAGTGTTGATCCTGCAGTGCCACACCAGAAGTCCATATTTAGCTATAAGAATCCAAATAGTTTTCAAAAGTTAAGACTTTTGTTCTCAGGTAAGTCGATTTTTAGACTAGATTAAAAAGATTATTGGTATAATTCATTAACTAATCAGCTAAATTCTTGGTGCATTTCCTACGTATCTTGTAAATCTAAGAATTTACAAGGTTGAAGATATACTGTAATTGCCATTGAGTCAGTTCTGATTCACAACTACCCTGTGAAGAGTTTTTGAGGAGTAGCCAGTGGGTTTGTAATAGTATTTTATTTTTGCAGAGGTCACATTTAATTTCTCTGAACCCAGAAAAGCATGAAGAGCCTCTTAGTGTTATGTAATGTGTTTCAAAATAAATTTATTTTAGCCTATTAAAGAAAATTGCTTAATTTACTTATCTTCACACCATCTATTAAAGCTATGTGGAAAGCCAGGTAGCAGATGTGAATCAGCAACTATATATCTGTTGCTATAAATTCTATACTAAGAATACTCTTTCAGTAATGAAATTTATAAATATGCCTGATGACTACTAATCCACCGCTACCCCTTCCCTCTTTGTTTTCCTTAAATATTAGGTATGAGCCTTCTCGTGAGATGAAAAGTCAGTGGACAGCTGTCTGGGTGAAAATCTCTTCCAGTTGGATTGGCATCGTGCTGTATGTTTGGACACTGGTGGCACCACTTGTTCTTACAAATCGTGATTTTGACTGAATGGGACTTCTGGCATGAAAGTCCCACTTCAGTCATTGCTTATCTGCAATTAACAGTATTTCCAATTTTTGTAAAGTGTGAGTGTGTGTGTGTGCACGTGCACCTTTCCCTTACAACTTTTCCATTGTTGATCTGGCATGAATTTGGTTTTACAGCTTGCCCTTTTTTTTTTTTCATTTTTTCTTGCCAAGCCCATTGATATGTGTGTTGTTAGAATAAACTACAGTGGAGAGTTTCATAAATCTGATAGTGAGTTAGGTAAAGTGTACATTCTTAGGTTTATCCTCTGCTGTGTATCTGTGTAAAGTTAGATTAAAAATGAAACTGTTTGCTTAACAGGTTGATTTCTTAAAATGTTAGCAATTAAGCTATTTTAGAAAGTATTAGAGGGAATGTATGACTGCCTTTTCAAATTTTGATGCCTTGCCTTAAAGGGGAGTGCAAATAGACTATTCTAAAGTTATATAAAAAACTTCTATGCCAGCTGTTTGAAATTTTTGATAAAAGATAAGAAACTTAAAGAGGTAGGAAGTGTTCAGTGAACAACAGTATAGGTTTTGCATGGGAGCTGAGGCACAGAGCCTTTAAGAAACATCAGATTGGCAATTTGTTAAATGCAGTCAAGTCAGTTCTAACTCACAGCTACCCTTTTAGGGTTTCTGAGGCTGACAGGTTGGCAATGGTAGGTACTAAATTGAATACCCAATTAGATTTTCATTGTTCTTGAATAAGGATGACCTTCTTCCTTGCCTTCCTAATGAACTTTATTTTGGTCATTATAAACACAGGCAAGGAGTAAGATGAATGGAGATGTTAGCAACACTGAAAGACAAAGATTTTGAAAAGAAAAATCATGAGTTAGAAGAATGTTATTTAATAAAACATTGTAAGTTTTGAAAAACAAAGGTATGGTAAACTTTGACTGGGCAGGCAGAAGCTAAAGTATTGGACTAATATTGATCAAGTAGGCACTTATGTGAAATTTATTCCAGTTCTTATTTTAAAAATGAAAAAACTGAAGCACAGACTTACAGCTCATATAGCTCTGATTAGTGGCTAAGCTGGGAAATTCCAAGTCTGCCAAAAATAGCTAGCATTCTTTCTGGCATTAAAAAGTAATTTCTATTAAAAATACATGCATATTATAGTTTGTACCTGATTGTTGTTGTTGTTAAGTACCATGGAGTCAGTTCCGACTCAGTGACCCTGCACAGGGTTTCTGAGGTTGCAAATCTTTATGGGAACAGAAAGCCTCATCTTTGTCCCGTGGAACAGCTGGTAGTTTCGAACTGCTGACCTTGAGGTTAGCAGCCTGATTGGTAACCACTATGCTACCAGAGCTCTTTATTAGTGGTAGATAATTTATGTATGTTGGCTGATGGTTAGCATGTCTTCTACCTGGAAACTCAGGCCAGGTGAATGATAAAATGCTGTAGACTAAACTTCTGCTTACTGATTGTACAGTTCACAAGTTGTTTAAAATGCATTTGTATTTGCTACCATTTAAGTGAAATGTATACATTATAATCTTTCAGCTTGAAAATCAAGGAGTATGACAGTTAACTTAGAGAAACAATTACGTGTATGACATTAGTCTTAATGAAGCTTTTAAAATCTACATTTGCCTCTTATAAAATATTTATTAATATAAGTGAAATATAACAATTCAGCCTAATTCCCTAGTCTGTTTTGTGTATTGATAGTCATGAGTTTGAGTGGCTGTGTTCATCTATAAATAAATGGATTCAAAGACTATAGTGTGTTAATTTTTTAACAGTTCAAATTTAGGTGACTGTAATACTCAGATATACTTTCCTCTGCAAAAGAACTTGGCACTAGTACATTGTTGTTGTTTCTTTAAGTGCTGTCAAGTCAATTCTAACCCATAGCGACCCTGTATAGGTTCAAGCAGCTGGTGAGCTTGAACCGCTGACTTTGCAGTTCAGATGGCTTTAGGCAGGGGCAACTGCAGACTCATTTCATGTTAGTGCTTAAGGAAAAGCAGCTGCTAATGATAGCCTTGAAATAAGGGTCAGTTGAAATATCAAACAAAAAGTTAGAATACTATTCTAAGTGCCATGGATTTGGGGTGAGTGGGGGTTGATGCACAGTGACCCTGTAGAGGGGTCCAAGGCTGTAAAGCTTTGTGGGAGCAGAAAGTCTCATCTTCTGTAAAGAAGCTAGTAGGCTAGAATTGCTGTCCTTGTGGTTTGCAGTTCACTCTCTATGTGGAATCTAAGCTTTTCACATACTAGTTTATTTCTTCTTTGAATGATGGTTGTTAAGTGCCATCAGGATGGTTCTGGATCAGTGATCTTCTGTAGGGCTTCCAACCTTCTGGTTAACAGTCCAGTGCTTATCCTACAGTGCCACACTAGGAAGTAACAGACATTTAGGGCAGGGCCTTTCAGTACTAGTAACACAGTCTTATATAGTATCATGGTTAACAGTTTGTAGATTTATTCAACAACTGAATGTAGAAGGGTATAAGTAAAAAAAAATACTGCTACGAATCATCGCACCCACTATTAAACAAAAACTTCAAAATGTGAAACTTGTTTCTCAACATAACCGCCATGACTACACTTCTTTTTGTTGGGAAGAAAAAAAAAAATTTGTGAATTGCGTGACGGTTTAATACTTGGCTTCATTATAATGATTGCATTCCAACAGTTAACGGTTTTACCTCTAATCACTTTAACTCTTGCATTCCTCCATGCTTCCCTCGACCTTTATCTTTCCTCTGCCAACCTCACTCTTGTATATTGCCTGCCCCATCACCCATGTCAACATGTGTCTACCACCTTCTAGTCCATGAAGAATTTTCCCTGCCTCACCACCCTCAGGAACCATCATAGAAGTTTCTTTTATCAATAAATCCTTTAAATTTTTTACAAGTGGTCTCACAATATTTCTCCTTTTGTGATTGACTGCACTCAGTATAATGTCCTCCAGCTTCACTCATGTGAAGTGTTTTACAGATTCATCATTATTCTTCAACATTACATAGTATTTCACTGTATGTACCAAAATCTAACCATTTTTCTGTTGATGGACATTTAGGCTGCCTTCATCTTTTTGCTAATGTAAATAGTGTTACAATGAACATGGGTGTGCAGATATATGTGTCAGGGCTTTTATTTTTCGAGAGTGCTCCTTGGAGGCCAGGATGGCCAAACTTCATCTCTCTTACTTTGGACATATTGTCAGGAGGGACCAGTCACTGGAGAAGGATATCATGTTTGGTAGGGTGGAGGGTCAGTGAAAGAGGAAGACCTCCTAGCAAGATGATTGGCAACGTGTTAGCATCAATGGGCTCAAGCGTGGCAATAATTACGAGGTTGGCCCAGGATCGGGCAGTGTTTCATTCTGTTGTACATAGGGTCGCTATGAGTCAGTACCGACTCGATGGCACCTAACAACAAAATACCAAGTAGAGGGATTATTGGGTTACATGGTATTTCTAGTTCCAACTTTTTGTGAAAGTGCTAAGCTGGTTTTCACAGTGGTTGTATCATTCTACCAGTCCTGCCTGCAGTGTGTTGTTAGTATCATCAAGTCAGTATTTTGAGCTACTACAACCATAAGTAAAGGTCAAGTTCATCAAATTATAGCAATTTACATTTGCCTCATTTATCAAATTTCTTTTATCTTCTAGTCAAATTCTGATCATCAAGCCATTGAAGCTAGGTCAATTTGGTACTATCTGCAAGTTTGGGCATTCTTATCCATCTCCCCTCACTTCATATCAACTATTCACTGACTCTCTGCTGTAGCCCCCCCATGGCTAAGTCTTTGTCCATGGGTTTAGGAGTCCCCGGATCACCATACTTTGGACCAACCAGCCCTTCCTCTTCTCTCTCTCAAGATCAATGGGAGTTTTTGGAATGTGGCTAACTCAGCCCATAATCTTCATTGCTGCCTATCCCCCATTTCCACTCACCAGTAGACCAACATGGTCACCAGCAAGCTTACATGCCTCCTTGTGGTTCCTTTGAGTTTTCAGTTTTGGAGTGGACTTTGTCCTGAAGGGACTTGATTGCTTGCCTTGATGGCTCCCCAGTGAACAACTAGCTTGTTCTTATAGTAGCCAATCAGACAGCTGCTTTTGTTATTGATTTTTCCTGCTGGTCTTTCAAGAAATATATTCTGTTCTTTTGGCCATTCCAGGCTGGTCTGCATATCAAACTGATTTTTGTATGCTTATCTTGTACCCTGCCAATTTGCCAAACCTATCCATGAGTTTCAATAATTTTCTTATAGAGCCTTTCAGATTTTTAAATGTAAGATCATATCATTTGAAAACAGAATACCAGAAAGATATTTGTTGTTAAGTGACATTGAGTCAGTTATGACTCATAGCAACCTGTATGGGGTTTTTAAGAAGCTGGTGGGTTTGAACCATTGACCTTGTCATTCACGGTCCAGTGCTGATCCTACAGTGCCACATCTGTGCTTTATTGACTAGGCAAAGGCTTTCAACTGTGTGGCTCTTCAGAAACTATGGGCAACATTACTGAGAATGAACATTATACCAGAACACTTAATTGTGCTCATGAGAAACTTGTACATTGAATAGGCAGTCTTTTTAACACAACAAGGGGACACTGAATAGTTTAAAATCAGGAAAGGTATGCCCCAGGGCTATATTCTCTTACTAATTCAGTCAGTATGCTGAGTAAATAATCCAAGAAATTTGATTATATGAATAAGAACCTGGCATCAGAATTGGAGAAAGACTCATTCACAATCTGCAATATGCAGACAGTACAACTTTTGTTTGCTGAAAGTGAAGAGGACTTAAAATATTTACTGATGAAGATCAAAGACCATAACCTTCAGTATGGATTGCACTTCAATGTAAAGAAAACATAAATGCTCACCACTGGACCAATAAACAACATCATGTTAAATGAAGAAAAGTCTGAAGTTGTCAAAGACTTCATTTTGCTTGGATCCCATCAACATTAATGGAAGCAGCAATCAAGAAATCAAAGGAT